TGCTTTGATGGTTGGACTTTCTACTTTGTAATACTGCTATCGTGCAGAGTTTGTCTCCATGCTGAAAACTGAGGTATTCCTGACAGCCCTGAGAATCTTTAAACCTGTAATTTTAAAATGTATCGCCATCTATTTCAACTCTGCATCTGGCAGATTGTCAGAACAGACAGGGTCACATTTTGAAGTGAAAAGTCTAAAAGGCTCAGCATTCTAAATCAAACCTTTATTTTGAAAGCTGAGTGACTAAGCTACAGCATCTCCTTTTCCTCAGTTTGTTACTCGCAGTACAACCCTGTTTCCAAGGCAGATTCACCCGTTTGAAATATACTGTGAGAAGGAACCTAGACTGGGTACAATTAAGTCTCAATAACGCATTTTGAAGCTCACTCAGTGGTGCAGTTGCACTCTGAAAAGGATTCTGACATTGCTGGAAACTCAAAATTGTGCTTGTGTGCAAGACAAGTGGAAATATGTATTTACCTTGCTAGCGCTCTCTTCCTGAGTCCCAACTCAAACATTAGATGACAGAAAAAAAAGGCTTGATTGACTGGCAGTTCTGCTTATGTATTTATTTTGTCTTGGTTTTCCACTGTAAGTAGTATGAAGCATAGTAAAATCTTTTATTCTGGTTTTTAAAGCAGAGCAATCTTAAAGTTGCAGAGCATCACTAGTTATTGGATCATAACGTCCTAGACCTCATGTCACAATATTACTCAAACTTGCATGTAGTGGTAAAACAAACAAACAAACGAGAACCCCCAAACAAAACACATTCTACTTTCTTTCCCTAAAGCCTAAATTGTTGGTGAATGTAATTTTCATCTCTTCTCCCCTGTCTGACTGCAGAAAAGGGGGAAAATAAGATAATACTTTATCTCTTCCTCCATCTTTTTGTTGGTTTCTTGTAAGTACACTGATTCTAAAATAATTTTAAGAAAAAATGTAGAAATTGATCACAACAGCTCCTGTAATACTGTTTAGCTTTCTTCTCACACCTGTTTCCTCTGGCTGGTGGTTGTTTTTTTTTTCCCACCTGGAGAGAATGAGCAGAATGTCAACAAGCTGTCTGAAACCCACATTTAGAGAGCTGGTCTGTGAGGAGGGAACCGTGAACACTCAGTGTTGATAATCTCAAAATCTGAAGCTCAAAATACATAACAAAGACTAAAAATTTATCAGATTATAAGAAAAATTCATTTGGCTCTGTCTCTACTTATAGGTGTATCACCTCCTGAAGCCTACTCTCGTGCAACTTCAATGTTGACAATACATTCTTTTTTGATAATATGCTTTTTCTGTCTCTTCACCACTTGCAGAACATTGTTTTTGGTTGTCTGAAACTGCAGCTTCAGATTCTTCTGATCCCTGAAAAATGAGTGCATTAACTGTCCTCATTCATTACAACATTTATTTGTCTTTGACTCCAACAATTGATGCTTTGCTCACTTCTCACACCAGTTTTGGCAGTCCAGCTTACTGAGGGCCCCCTAATTAACTTCTGTTCACCAGTTCCCTCAGTGACGTGACCTCTGAGAGGTGCATACACACTTCTTATACTCACTGCTTATGGCATACAAGGAAAGGAACAAAGAGAAGGTCATCCATTTTTCCCCATCAGGGAAGAAGAGCAGAGCTCCAAACTCACTTGTGTGTGGAATGTCTTACGAAATAGAGACAGGCTAAAGCAGCAGCAATTTCTGTAAACATGGAGATTTTTTCCTGAATAACCGCCTTGCTAACTCATCTATTTCCACCAGTGTCAAGAGACTCCAAAATAGGTGACCCTGAAAACATTCCTCCCCTTCTCTGCTCTCTGTGTGATCTTGGTTGATCCTAGCTCAAGATAAGACCACAAGATTGTGATATGCATGAAAAAAAATTATATCTTTCCTGCAAACAAAGATGAGAAAAAGGTATGAGGGGAAAACAGAATACTCTCCTGGATATCTCACGGTATTGCTATGAACCAGGATATCAGTCTTCCAAGATTTTTTTTTCTCTGTCAAAAGAGAGATGCTTTTGTATAGACAAATTTTATTTGTTTGGGTTTTGTGTAGATGTGATTTCCCAGGTGTGAGTCAGTATTGCCTTTTTTCTATATGGACAGAAAAGTTGAGTGTTCTCTGAATGGAAAAGAATGGTTGATAAAGTTAACAGTGCTTGTTTTTCAAGGCTAGAAATTACTTCTGAAACAGCATATACATTTTTCATTGAAAAATGTGGTTTCTGGAAAGGCTAATGAGACTTAGCACTTCTTTCAGCACAGAAACAGGTGTTTTTAAACAAGCTGACAGAGTTTAATTCAAAAAATGTGATAAGTTGTTAACACGAAAAAGTCAAATTTTGATTTTCAGTCTATGTGTAATGTTGGGGATTAGCTCAATATACTTCATCCCATGAATTTCTGAATAGCTCAGAGTCCAATTATCAATCTTAACTAAGCAGAACAACTGCTTTAGTGACTTTTCACATGGCAATTTATGTTAATTTATAGATACACATGCTGTAAGACTAAATCTTTACACGGGAGGTATTGTAACTCACAGTGATGCATGCAACACAGGACTGTATGCATTTCAGTCCCAAGAAAAAAGTAACAGATTGATATTTTAGAACTGGAGGGGAAATAAGCTTATTTTTATAAACAAATTAACTCATCCATGCCTTGATAGCATTAAAATCCCCCATTATTTAAAATCATAGGTTATGTTTCCATCTCAGTCACTTAGGGAAGGGAAATACCGTGTCTGGTATGAATCACAGCCTTTTTTGTTTGTCTAACTACTGTGAGTAAATAATAAAGTAAATGCATGGTGGCAGGAGTTTGAGGGCCCCTTCCCCCCTTAATTTCCCGTTAGTGGATTAGACTAGCCTGTTGGGTGTACATTTCTTACGCCTGTGACAGGGATAATAACAGCAAAGAAGCTGCCTCCTTGAGTCAAGGGGGAAGGTAGGAGGGATGGTTGCTGGTTACTTAGGAATCTACCTGTCCACACGATCTAGTTCTCCTTGGAAGCAAGCATGCTGAAGGAAATACAACTAGCATTATTTAACAAGCGTACAATCTCAGGAAAGCAGGATGTTTTTTTCTGTTTGGGAGGAGAGTACATCAGTCATCTTTTATTTTACCTGTCCGTGCTAAAATGGTGTTTCGGCACTGCACGAACTGAAATCTAAAAGCAGTATAAAAATTTCAATTAAGAAGCAGAAATCTAGAGAAAAGAGATTTGCAAAGGAGATCTTTTTAGTAGCAGGGAGGTCACTGTTTCCGGGTATCACTTTATTATTTAGTAACAAAAAAACCAAAACAGATGTTTTATTTTAAATCCAGAGGTAGTGCTGGATAGCACTAAAAAATATAGTCGCTTGGCTACTTAGTATTTCTTTTACCCGAGGATGCAAGATCTCTCCTTTTCTCATGTCTTCTTTCCCTGCCAGAAGCACTGCATCTCGTGCTTCTGTTGGGAAGGGATGAGGGCTGGCACCTCTTTTTCCTGTGGGGAAAAGAGAGAGCAAGAAGGTGGGACTGGATGAAAGAGAGATGTTCATTTGTGGGAGAAGCTGTATCCATGGTATTGGCTGCTGTCCTGGGATGGCCAATCGCTGCATCTTCTGGCACAGCCAAATCTAGCAGTCTGTTGTCCTTCATGTCTGCCTCTTTCCCCTGCTGTCACTGCCTTGCTCCCTGCCATCTGGCAGCATAATGGATTTGCTCCCTGCTTTCAGGGTGACAGAGAAGTAGATTTTCATAAAGCTTATTTCTTCAGAAAAATCCTGACAAACAATAGTTGCTAATAAGCTTTATTTAACTGAGTGGAGCCTCAATGATAAGAACAATGGAGGTTGTCCAACCAAAACAAAAATCTGGCTTTGGCCAAAGGTTCTTTGTAAGAAAGCTAAAGCTGAGGGAGATACTTGGATCCCGTTCCATGCATTTTCTTGTTATCTCACCTGAAGCAAATGGAATACGCTTTACTGCACAGATGTATGAGACCATTTGTGTTCAAAATAAATAAACATTTTGCCGTCTTACCAACAACATGAGTAGCATGATGTTCCCTTAAATTAAGTACACACAATGTGCAGCACTCTTAGTGCTGTAGAATGAAGTCATTACGCTCTAAATTGTGCCTTTGCTTTCAGTGACACCACTGCAAAACAAGTGAAATTATTCAGCATGAACAGAATCTGCATGAGCAGAATCTGTTGGTAGGATGAGAAGAAGGGACTGACGATGATACAGGCTTATATTAAACCACACTACATCAGGATTGAAGCCTAAGAGGAGATCTTATTGGTATTGACAGCTATCTAATGGGAAAGTGTAGAGTAGATGGGGACAGGCTTTTTTCAGAAGTCACAGCAGAAAGCAAGTGGCAACAGCCACAAGCTGGATGTATTGGGTCTGGCTGGGATGGAGTTAACTTTCCCCACAGCAGCCCTCATAGTGCTGTGCTTTGTATTTCTAGCTGGAACTACGTTTCTAACACACCAATGTTCTGGCTGCTGCTATGCAGCACTTTCACAGCATCAGGGCTTTCTCTCCATCCCTCCTCCCCCCACTAGGCCAGTAGATGGGGGTAGGGAAGAGACTGGGAGGGGACCCGGCCGGGAGAGCTGGCCTAAACTTACCAAAAGGATATTCCATACCATATGACATCGTGCTCAGCAATAAAAGCTAAGAGAAAGGAAGAGGAGGAGAGCATTCATTATTAAGGTGTTTGTCTTCCAAAGCAACCACTATGCATACCGAGGCCCTACTTGCCAGGCAGTGGCTGGACGTCACCTGCTGATGGGAAGTAGAGAATAAAGCCTTTTGTTTTCTTTTGCTTCTGCATGTGGTCCTTCTTTTCTTTATCAAATTACCTTTATCTTGACCCACAAGTTTTTAATCTTATTTTTTCCCCCGTCCCACTGAAGAGGGGGATTGAGAGAGCGGCCTGGTGGGCACGTGGCAGCCAGCCAAGGTTAACCCATCACAGTCCTATGTGGCGCCCAACATGGGACATGCGGAATTCAAGGTAAGGACAGTAGTTGGGAGCGGTAATGGGCAAAACACGGCCTGAACATTGCTAAAGAGCAGGATATTTGTGGGGAATTTTTTGTTGTAATTGTGGTGAAGGGATGAGGGGTGGAGTGTGTGCAAATTGTCCACCTTTGTCTGTGTTGTGATGATGTTATTTTGATTTTGGTGTGAGGATTTTTTTGTTGATATAAGTGAAGTTTGTGAAGATTGTAGATTGTATGATGAACGTATATTTTAATGATAATTCTTAAATATGTGATTCACAGAGGTGAGGGGTGAAATGTATTTGGTTTACGTAGCAAAGTCTTGGTAGCAGGGGGCTACAGGGGTGGCTTATGTGAGAAAACACTAAGATCTGCCCTGATGTTGGGCAGAGACCATTCCAGCCTGTTCCACCACTGGCCAAAGCTGAGCCAATCAGCAATGCTGGTGACAACCCTCTGACAACATATTTAAGAAAGGGGAGTGAGAATATGTGAGAGAAACAACCCTGCAGACCCCCAGGTCAGTGAAGAAAGAGGGGGAGGAGGTGCTCCAGGCGCCAGAGCAGAGATTCCTCTGCAGCCCGTGGGGAAGACCAACCACGTGAGGCAGGTTGTCCCCCTGCAGCCCATGGAGGACCACGGTGGAGCAGCTATCCACCTGCAGCCCAGACAGGACCATATGCCAGGGCAGATGGTTGTGCCCTGAAGGAAGCTGCAGCGTGTGGAGAGCCTGTGCTGGAGCAGGTTCCTGGCAGGAGCTGCAGCCTGCGGAGAGGAGCCCATGCAGGAGCAGGTTTTCTGGCAGGACCTGTGACCCCGTAGGGGACCCATGCTGGAGCAGTCTGTGCCTGAAGAACTACACCCCATGGAACTACACCCTTGCTGGAGCAGTTCTTGAAGAGCTGCAGCCTGTGGGAAGAAGCCACAATGGAGAATTTTGTGAAGGACTGTATCTCATGGGAGGGGCCCCACGCTGGAGCAGGTGAGGAGGAAAGACTGGCAGAGATGAAGTGTTATGAACTGACCACAACCACCATTTCCCATCCTCCTGCGCCACTCAGGCAGGAGAAGTCAGAAGAGTTGGGAGTGAAGCTGTGCCCAGGAAGAAGGGAGGGGTGGGGGGAAGATGTTTTTAGATTTGTTCTTATTTCTCATTATCCTATGCTGTTTAATTGGCAGTAAATTAAATTAATTTCTCCAAGTTTAGTCTGTTTTGCTTGTGACGGTAACTGGTAAGTGATCTGCCTGTCCTTATCTCAACCCATGAGTTTTTTGTTGTATTTTCTCCCTCTGTCCTGTTGAGGAGGGGGAGTGAGAGAGCAGTTTGGTGGGCACCTGACAACCAGCCAAGGTCTACCCTCCACACTGGAACATGGGAAGTTCCAACCCACTACAAGAAAAACAATTCACTGTTAATTTGGTCAAACATGGGCACAGGTTGCCCGGAGTTTTTAAGGAATCTCTATCCGTGGAAATAGTCAAAGCTCAGCTGGACTGTCAGTGAGAAAGAAGTTGAACTATATGATCTCTGGAGGTCCCTTCCAGCCTACATGATTCTGTGATAAACTGCTGTTCTGTGCCAAATGGTCCAGATAACACTGCATGTAGCAATAAGTTTCCTTCAGTTTTTATGGCACTTGTTAAAAATTAGATGCTTAATACATGACCAGAGTGAAAATCCTCTATCTAGTAGGTGTTTCAGTTAAAACTGTGAAAAA